TGGATGTAGGCTTGATGAACGGACAAGACTCGGTCCCACCGGGTGACTTTTATCCCGACCCATTAGGCGTGTGTGAGTCCGTGAAGCCCCCCGTTGCGTTCGCTGTGATGCAAGATGAGTTGGACGCGCTCAAAAACTTCGTTGCCGAGTGCCGTGTGCACCAAGATGTAGGTCCCCCCTCCCTTTCCTATGCTTTGGCGATTATCGCCCCCGGTGGTCCAGCGTTCACTGTAGGAAAACCCACGTCCACCATCGACATTAATTTGTTCCACGCTTCCACCGGCCACGTGAATGAATTTTTGATGCGGGAAACCGCCAAGCAGCAGGGTGTTCAATTGGTGGGGGAACTGCAGCCATGCGTCGGCTGCATCGAGGCGAAGGGCAGGAGGGCCCCGGTGCCGCGGCGTGGAGTCACCCGCGCGGCGGTACCGTTCGGCAAGGTGCACATCGACATCACCGGCCCGTACTCTGAGGCGTTCGATGGTTCCCGTTACCTGATTATGTTCGTGGACAGTGCGTCGCGGTGGCAACGGGCGAATGGCATGCGGGCCAAGAGCTACACCCTGACGTACACGCGGCGTTTCCTCGCCGACCTGAACGGCAACGGCCCTCTGGGGTGTTTCCGCATGGACAACGCGGGGGAGTTCACGAGTGCTGCCTTCGTCGCGTTCTGCGACGCCGCTGGCATCCGGCGCGAGTACACCGCGCCCGACACCCCGAAGCAGAATGCGGTCGTGGAAAGCGCCATCTGGCGAGCCATGAAGGGGGGCCACGCCGCCCGCCGCCATGTCCTCTCCATGGGCCACTTCGACCTCGCATTATCCCCGGTATGGACGCCAACGGACACCGGCTGTGGCTTGCATCGGCGNAGGGTGTTTCCGCATGGACAACGCCGGGGAGTTCACGAGTGCTGCCTTCGTCGCGTTCAGTGACGCCGCTGGCATCCGGCGCGAGTACACCGCGCCCGACACCCCGAAGCAGAATGCGGTCGTGGAAAGCGCCATCTGGCGAGCCATGAAGGGGGGCCACGCCGCCCGCCGCCACGTCCTCTCCATGGGCCACTTCGACCTCGCCTCCATCCCCGGTATGGACGCCAACGGACACCGGCTGTGGCTTGCATCGGCGATCTGGGCCTCCGGCTGCTTCAACCGTTCCGCGACGTCGGCCAACCCGGCCTGGATGTCGCCGTTCGAGGCCTTCTTCGGACGCAAACCGCCGCTCAAGGTCGTCCCCTTTTTCCAGGAGGGGATGATGCGCGTGAAGCGCGCCAGCAAGGCGGACGTCCAATCCGTTCGTTGCTTCTACCTGCACGGAGCGCGCAACCACTCCGACGCCACTGCCGTCGTACTCCGCGCCGACACCGGAAGGATCTGCTTGTCCAACAACGTCGTGTGGATCAACCGCCGCACCGCCGTGCCGGCGCCGGTACCGGCCAGCGGGGGGGGTTCTTCGGTCACCGCGGCGTCCTCGCCGGCCGCAGCCGCTCCTGCAGCCGCTGCCGCACCGCCACCGCCATGGACATGGCGGACGTACACCCACACCCCGCCCACAGCGACTACCGCTACGCAGCCGCCCGCTTC